CATTGATTTTTGGGAAATTTTTTTGTTGAAGGTGTCGCACATTTTTTCCATATAAAATTTTTTTTTTTTTTATTGTAGAATTAACCATATTTTTAAATAAAAAAAAATAAAATAAATATAGAAATATAATATTTGAAAAATAGTTGCCAGTATTGTAAAAAATCGCTGTACCTAAACTTTGTTGACTGACTGTATGTATATCTGAATTTAAATTTTTAATTTATTTGCTCTGCAACTCGTTCAAGATCAAATGGCGATTGAAACGCGCTTAAGAAGCGGTGCCCTGCTTTGCCTAGCATTGTTGCGCCCACACATCTTACGCCGCCAACCAGTTTCTGCTTAATTCTTTCCATTTCTGATACGCTGGAACCCTTTAAGCTGCAACTCCATTGGCAAGCATATATGTACGTGCATTTGCGAGATCCGTTGCCCAGCGCCAACGTCCGTAAAAACTGGGCAACTCCATAGTGTGCGCTTACAAGCGTTTGACAGTTGTCATTTCGACGAATTGGTGCATACATACATACGTACATATTTTGAGTTTTTGAAGACGGAAGCCGTTGGCTACCAACAAATACTTTTGAAATAAAGTCTAATGTCATTCATCATCTCCTTCTTAGACGGAATTTTACAAAATGAGCTCAATCGCCTAATTTAGTTCTCTCAGTATACATCTGTTATTTTTGGAAAGTGGATTCAGCAGAGCACACTTTCTTTGAATGTTAGCGATAGCAGTGTGAGCAGTGCAAACTAAAGAATGTATGTAATTGGTGCAATACTCCAAGCGAAAAAGTGGGATTACAAATTTTAAACCTATCTTTTATTTTTTTTTTTAATAAAAATTCTTCAATTTTTACCAGGGACGTGAACCGGTTTTGAACCGAACCGGTAATACCTACCATATTTTTTTACCATGCGAAAATATCAAATGTAAAGGCAGCCCATCTCACTTGGCCCTTAACCTTGCGCGTTGTTGCACTTCACACTTAAATTTGTGCGTTATTTTTTTTGTTTTTTTTTCGAATCGTTGAACCGAAACGAAACCCCGGTTCAAAGACCAAAAAACCGCTTTGACGAACCAATCCAAAAGTGCAACAACGGTTCGAACCGCTGACCAAATTTTTCATCCGGTTCACGTCCCTGATTTTTACACCAATAGTGCGGGCATAACTTTAAGATACTCATAACGCAAAACCTCGTACACTTGTGGTCAGTTGATTAAGTCAAGTGACATTTTGACTAGTTTTGGCTATTTTGCTTCGGTTTATTTAATGTTTATATTTTTTTTTATAAAAGTTTAGCTTTTTACTTAACCAGTTCCACATAAATCCACATTTCAAACTTCGTACAAAAATTATGAAAATTCAACAAACTTTTAACATTTGCACCTAAACATTTTAAACTTTTTATTTACAATTTTTAGAAAAATTTTGGGTATGCAGTTTTGTAGCTCATTAAATTTTAGTAGGTCAAAGTGCAAATTTTAAGCCGCTAGAAAATCGTGTAAGTCCATTTCTTCTTTTATTTAAAGAATTATTTAAAATATTTAGGCAATCAAAGGCTCCTCAGCATTCCAGTAAAATGAGTTTTGAATGGAGCACCTGTTTGCCTTTTATTGATATGTGTGTATATAAAAAGTGTGCATTAAAGCGTTAATGCAATAAAGTAGAAAATAAAAAGATATTTAACTACGAAAAATAAAGCGCAGAAACTTGCCGGCGTTCACCGGCACTTTTCACCAACCGCCATTACTGTCGTTTGGCGTGAATTTCATATCATTTACTAAAATATCCAACCACAAACCTAGTTTTAATAATTCCGCAATTTTTGGATAGTATGTCTTGCCTTTTTTTTATCAAATTACCCAAGATTAGGAATGACAAAAAAAAATTAAATTATCGATTAATTAATCATATGATTAATCACCAGCCAAAAAAATTAATTACAATTAATTTCAATTATTAGCTCTGGTCTAATACTTTTCGTGTAAAATTCTGTAAAAATGTTAAACAGCAAAATTTCTCTCCGAAGTGAGAGTAGAAAGTGAGTAACAACCGAACAGTACGGGAGCAAAAAGGTATTCTTCCTGTAAAAACGTCAAACAGCTTATCGCTTGACACTTTTCATGATTTTACCAGAAGAAAAAGTTCGGGTAAAATCTTTAAACTTCATTCTATACACAACTCTCCAAAAATCGCTCTCATTTAAAGGATTTTCGAGGAATTCTGAGTACGGGATCATTTTTCCTGTAACTTTCTGCAAGTTCCTGTAAAAACCTGTAAGTTCATGGAGTACTGGATCAGAGCTATTGAGAAGTAATCGATTAATCGAATTTTTAAAGGCTCTTTGTTACAGTGAGTTTCGCAAAAACATTTTTCCATAAACAATTTCTAATTCTCTTCTTAATTGACCTTAAATAAAATAAAACGAATGTTTTAGCACCGATAATTATTTATTATTTAACCATGTTTGTGGTGGCTGGAGTACCAGCAGGCTCCGAGGTACCAACTAAATTACAGTATTTTTCCAAAAGTCCGTAAAATTGTGGGTAAACAGCAACGATGATATTCTACTTTAGTTCTATTACTTAACCATTTCAATAAAAACTTATTTCATCATGTGGATGACCCAAATCATTATATTTTCGCCTTCGTTTGTGTACAAGAGATTTATGTATGAAGTCCCAATTACGAACGAATTTCGGGTGATTTTTTTTTTTTAGGCGAAACTTAGGATAAGGCAGAATATCTTTTTCCATTGAAATTATTATTACCGGAGATTCAGAGTTGCCTAGCAATATTTGGCTGAATTATGAACTTAGTTTTATAAACCGTTCAAGCATATAATACGTCGAATTCCACCTTGTTTTTACATTTAATATTGGTTTGAGCATTTTTCCTTCACTTACACCTAATTGTTTGTTTAATATATTTGGTTTTATTTGTCCCCCGAAAAATACCCCTTTTTCTTTCTCAGCTGTACCCCGAGTCCCCCAATTTGTTCTTATCTATTCCCCTTTCGACATTTTAGGTTTGGGCCCTAGCACCGATCTGTCTATATAGCCATTATAAGAGTCATGCGCACCTGCCCAAAAGGAAGCACTGGAATCATCACATACTATACTATATCAGCAACTTGGCGAGCATTGGAAGCCGGGACCTTTAAGGGCTCTTGATAGTTTTAAACCCAATCTGTGAAGATCCCTCGTTAAACATACAGTCAAAATGCTACCGAAATTATCCTGCCAGCAGCACTACAAGGTTATAATTTCTAAAGGGTACAGATTTTATACTTGCATTAAAAGCCCTGAACTCTTTCAAAACTACATCTAGGATGGATAACGGCAAAATTCTACTCAACTAGTAATGCATGCATATTTGGTCGTGCTTAGAGAAAAAGTAAAGAGCGAAATACACCACACAAGCGGTTTGACAAACCAAGCGAANACCAATCTGTGAAGATCCCTCGTTAAACATACAGTCAAAATGCTACCGAAATTATCCTTCCAGCAGCACTACAAGGTAATAATTTCTAAAGGGTACAGATTTTATACTTGCATTAAAAGCCCTGGACTCTTTCAAAACTACATCAAGGATGGATAACGGCCAAACTCTACTCAACTAGTAATGGATGCATATTTGGTCGTGCTTAGAGAAAAATTAACTCAATAAAGGTATGTTCCAACTCATTTTCGTTGTTGGTGTTTCCCGCAGGGTAGGAATACGACAACCGATTTGTCTCCAAACCAGCATTTCAGCATCATAAACAAGTTCACAGAACACTCAGAAAAGTGTTTCTTTAACTATATTTGTGAAATATTTGAACAATTAAATCTATAGCTTAAACCTATTTTGGTACATTTTTTATAATTTTGGTACACGCTTTGGTATACAAAAAAATTAGTAAATGGCAAGCGTGGTAGTAAATCTCAATGGCCGGTTTCACACTGGAACATTTCTGCCACAAGAACAACCAGAGAACGTTAAATACAGAGAAGCAGAATTGTCATCGAATTGGCTGATTTATGTTCCAACAGAATAAGATCGCGTACATACCACTCGGCGGCGTACGGCTGTTAATAATCGCGTACTCTCCAAGATTTAACAGTGAGACCGTGAGCAATGCTCAACTAAAGAGCGAAATACACCACACAAGCGGTTTGACAAACCAAGCGAAATTTCCCTTTGCTTCAAGCCATTTGTGCTGTGTATGGGGGTGTTTGAAGGTTTGACGGCGAAATACACCACACAAGCGGTTTGTCAAACCGCTTGTGTGGTGTATTTCGCTCTTAACTGATTTGAGCAAACAATGAGAAAATGTCTGCTAATGGTCTTTTATTTAAAACATGCATACGTTTTTGTTCATCTATGAATTTTAGTAATTTTGCTTGTACTAACTAAATATAATTCTAGTAAAACAAGTCAAGTTTTAAGTGTCTAAAATATCGCGTTGATTTTTATTTATTTTTTTTTTGCTGGGGGCTTTTTGCTCCTTTTACCATCTAAAAGGGAATTTCTTGTAGAATAAACTGCGCAAGACCGTTTGCCTGTTTCCAAACAAAATCCGTCGGAAAAAAATCATTAAAAATCAAAGCGATTATTTAGCCGCTTAATACCTTGGTTATAATGCACTGGGCCCATATTCATTGCCCATTCAATAGATAATTAAGTGACAGTTCACTCCGTTCCGCTAGTTCCGTATAATCCAGGCATAAAACTTTCACTTGTTTCACTAGAATTACATAACCGCTCTATCTGCGTACCCAAAATATTTCTAAATATTCAGATTAAAAAGTTTAAAATTCGATGACAGTGCTGCTTCTCTGCATTTAACGTTCTCTGCCACGGCCATCGATGTTGCTCGATACATCGATGTTTTTGTACATACCTAATCGAACGAAGAGAAAACCAAAATTCTCTGGAATCGGTAGTGTATTCCAATTACTTCCGGTAGTGCATTCCAATGACTGCCGGTAGTGCATTCCAATGACTTCCAATGAATTGACGTTTGGCAGTTTTTGACATTTCGTTTTATTAAAAACAAAACAAGTTAGTGACTTTACTTGCAAAGTTAGTTGTCAAATAGGTATAAATTAACATTAAAAGTTGCTTATCTGCATCATTTTTTCGTGTGGTATTGTAAGAAAAGTACAATGAGTGGTGGCAAACATTTGGCTAAAGGTAATTTAAAATAGGCTTTTATTTAACAAAATTAAATGGGGCTCATGCCACACTAGGGCCACATGCACATTTCACAAGAAATTCGTCCAGTCATGCTTAAATATCATATTTAAAATCTGCACGTAGTATTGATTAATTCGTTATCGGATATAAGTAAAAAAATCTGAGTATGCTTAACATTTTGTATGTAATCCATTTTGAATTTCTTGTATTATATATCCACAAATATTTTAATCATTAACAAATATGTAGGATCGCAAAAACCGCAATTGCCGGATGATGGCGTAATCCGCTTGTTCTCTATGCGCTTTTGCCCATATGCTCATAGGGCGCATTTAGTCTTAGATGCCAAAGGTATTCCATACCACACGATTTTTATAAATCTTACCGAAAAACCTGAATGGCTTACTGAATTCAGCCCGTTGGGCAAAGTGCCGGCAGTATTATTACCGAAAGAGGAGGGCAGCCCAGCTTTAATTGAGTCTCTCATCATTGCTGAATACCTCGATGAGAAGTACCCGGAAAAACGACTTTTCCCTAAAGACCCTCTAAAGAAAGCGCAAGACAAAATACTCATTGAGCGATTCAACCCTGTAGTTAGCTCCATGTATAAAGTATTTTTGGGCGGAAGTGAAGGGGCTCCTGGTGCACTAACTGACATCTCAAAGGGATTAGATGTGTTCGAGAAAGAGCTGAGCTCCCGTGGAACACCCTACTTTGGCGGCGAAAAGCCAGGCATGTTAGATTATATGATCTGGCCGTGGTGTGAACGTTCTGAAATGTTGAAATACTTACTACCGGATAAATATGAAATGGATAAAGATCGCTTTGGAAAGCTGGTAAGATACTTGCTTGCTTACCTTTACTTACTCAAAGTGAAATGTGTATAACATAATCCATTATATATGTAGATTCAATGGCGTGACCTGATGATAAACGATCCTGCTGTCAAAGGATTCTATTTAGATGGTGAAACACATGCCAAGTTCATGAAAGCCCGTCGTGAAAATGTTCATGACTACGATATGCTCGTGTAAGACTTTTCTAGATGTACACGCGTCATAGCATACATACATATGTATGTATTTAGTGTTAACTTTTATTTTTTATATACATATATACATACCTGTGTGACTAACATTTTTGCGACATTCCTACAGTAATCAAAGCCTATGAGCTTCTATATTAAACACCGTAATCGACTTCTATTAACCTTGTGTACTTTTTATAAGTTTTGAATGTAATTAAAACTCTTACTATTCATGCACTGATATTTTATGTTTGATTTCATTTTCAGGAGCGATGCAAAGCGGCAAAAAACTTGTTGAGGATTAAACGTTTTTTAATTTGATATTGGAATATTTTGAAGTACACAAATATCATTAAATTCCATTGATTTTAAATCAGTCGGGAAACGCAATCACGCTTTACATATCCTTGTAATTGTCTTTAATCATTCTGTATACATCACACATACACACATATATATGTACATATTTTTGTACGTATATATCTAACGCTTTTTCACTTTAAGAAATCAAATACAACACATTTGTTTCGTAATAAATTGTCAAGGTGTATGAGTGATTTCTGTTTGAAGGATTTGATAGTACGCCCGTAAATATGCATATATGTATGTACATATATGCATCGCGGCATCTACATATGCATATACATACATACACACATCCATATGTAGATAAAATTGGCTTGATAACACAGCGGTCAATATAGGTATCAAAATCGCGGCAATTCTCGCCATCCGTTTGCATTCGATTAGATTAATTCTATTTTGAGTGAAAAAATCTGTTATGACATTAGAGAAAAATACTTTATTTAAAATTGCATTGCTGCATAAACTGCTTAAATAGCTAAATACAATATAATATATTTTGAATTTTTCTGTTTTCATATCTCAAATACGTAAAATCACGATAAATGTAAATATCATTTGTGGATTTGGAATGAATTTTCAATTATATTAAGTCAACTACACACACATAGAGAGAGAAAATTGAAAAAGATACCTTTTCCATACCTGTTAAGGACTGCATGTACATATGTATATGNAGCTCTTAAAAAATCACCAGTTATATACAAAATCTTATGTATACTTGTACAGGCATACATCTATATGTATGTGCATATTATGCACAAATTTAGGGATGTATGTAATGTGTAAATGGTATGGAGAGGAGTTATCCTTCGAATCAGTTTTTTTGTTTTTCAAGATTATAATTAACAAATATTTTAGTATTTTTAAATATCATATTCAAAAGGTGTCCACATCATTAAAGTTTACAACTTTTTCATTTTCAATATGCTTGTATGTATTGATCACATACATATGTATGTACATATGTATATCCATATGAGCCTATGTAAGTGGGTATATTTCACAAAAATATTTTATTTAGTATTACAAATGTATGTACATATGCACATACCATCATCATACGTTTGTTGTTTCGCAAATTGAAAGTTATCTGAAAGTGGTTTTGTTTTGTTAATATATCGAGCCCTAACCGCCAAAATAACGTAAGCGACATTTTTTTCCAAAATTTTCTTTTTGATGCAGAAATGCATCTAGATACTCTAGGAATATTTCTGCATTAAAAAGAAAATTTTGAAAAAAGTGTTGCTTACGTTATTTTGGCGGCTAGGGCTCGATATGTAGATGTGCATATGTACGTACATATTCATCTTGCTTGTGGGAAGTCACAATCGCTTCATCATATCAAGTACACATACATGAAAAGTTGCTTTTATCTATTTTAAAATGTTTAACTGCCCGCTTCATTTTTTTTTTGTCATTGTAAAAATTTTGATTAAAATAGTATTGTTAGTATGATTTCATCATCATTAGTTTATATTTGGAACGACATAGGTAACGATTCTCACTCCACTTGCGATTGCAATACGGTGGCCCTTTCAAGCGTTTTGTGCTTCATTTCTATATCAGCGACTGTATCAGGCCTGGGACGATGTACTTATTTGTTCTGTAAAAAATTTGTATGCATAGGTTTTTTAATCTGATTTCTATTTCGTAACTGGATTCGATCTGATGCCGTCTTTGCATTTACACTTACCGTTAGGTAAGCTGCTAGTAGCCACACTACTGATTACACTAACATCAGCAGCATTTGATGGGAGTGACGTTGGTTCGACGCTTGTGCTAACACTAACGCTGAGGCCATTGAGTGTGTTTTGGCTGCGTTTGTGCACCAAGCCACTGCTGTGCGTGGAAAACTTTTTGCCGCAAGCTTCGGAGCGCTCCGAGAAGCTTGCAGTTGATGGTGCTACGGCGGAGACTGTGGCTGGTTGCGTTTCGTTGGCGGGTTGGTCATACGTTGAGCGATGGGTGGTGAATCGTTTATGATGCCCCTGCTGCATAAGCTGTTGGTTGCTGTTGCAGGAGCTGCAATGTAACAAATTTCATTTGAATCAATGTACATATCGTCGTTTAAATTACAAAACCGCGTGATTCTAACACTTTCAAATTATTAGAGAAGGGGTATTTTAATATATCGTGAAAAACACAGTTTCGAAAAAAGTGTTGGTTAGGACCTTTGTGAATTAAGGTAACGATGTGTACATACATACATACATATGCACATTATGCATCGTCATTGATAAGAAAGGATGAATGCCTTCCACTTACCTTTTCTGCTCGTTGTCCTTTTTGCTATTGAACATGGCCAGCTCAATTTCGGTGTGTTCGTTGTTTAGATGTCGCACCCACTCAGCCGGGGTCTCAAAAGATCTAAGAAATATGTAGTTTCAAAAAATTAAGTACCAAAAGAATATGCAAAATTTCGTATTTATGTATGTACATACATGGAGCATAAGTCACAACATAGTGTCACATGAGCTGCGTTATTCTCCTGCTGCTTCCATTTTGTGTTTGAAAAGTCTTCGTTAATCTGTGAATTGTTTAGTAATTCCATTCTCACTCACCGACACTCTTCGACGTTTCTTGGGCAGGTACGCCTTGACTAAATTGTCGCCCCCGTTGGTTATAGTGGCGGCGGTGTTTCCGCCGCTGCTATTCGTTGTGCCGCACGCCATGTTTATGGTCACTGAATCGGTCGATGATGTGTGGACGCTGTGTGACTCCAAATGCCTCACCCAAGATTTAGGCTCATCAAAGGATTGCTTACATATTTCGCATGCTAGCCGCGTATCGTATTCATTGGAGTCCGGTCCGGCTGTATCCTGCTCGTTTCGTGGGCTGTGCGGATGGGCGCCTACTTCGAGTTTTACTGCGGTACCACCTGTCGGCATTTTGAAGTCCAGCGGTTGTTTAGGGGAATTTAAAGGGTCCTTGGGTGGCCTAGATAATTCTGATAATGCATTATCGGAAGTGGTTGTGGTCCAATCAGCCGGCTCTTGCTTGATCGCGAGAAAGTTTTGTGGATGTGACATTGGCGAAGTGTTAGTTAATCTAGCGCTGACTTGTTCTGAGAAGTGATGGTTGCTCTTAGTTGGCGTTGTGTTCGTATGCTCGTAGGACTCGGGTAAGAAGTAGTCTCGAACTGAAATGAGTTGAAAACAAAGATTAAGAAAAATTTAAGATTAACCGCCCTATTGCCACAACACTGACAAAATTCATCACATGACTATAGTACAACATTTTTCAAAACTGTCATAAGTCAAAAAAACAGAGCTGGAGAAAAACGGCTTTAAAGTTTTGAATTCACATTTCGATGGCTGAGTGGAAGATCGACCTATCTCGGCAGCCAGTTCGAAAATTTTTGATTAACGCTCTATCTCAGAAAACTTTTCAAGAACGCCCTACCTCAGAATTCTATTAAAAAACACCCTATCTCGGAATTTAGTTGAAGAACGCCCTAAGGCGTTTTTCAATCAAATTCTGTAGTAGGACGTTCTTGAAATGTTTTCTGAGACAGCGCGTTTTTGAACTGGCTGCCGAGAATGGTCGATCTTCCACTTAGCCAGCGAAATGTGAATTCAAAACTTTAAAGCCGTTTTTCTCGAGTTCTGCTTTTTTGACTTATGACAGTATTGAAAAATGTTGCACTACGGAGTCATATTGAATACAATACATACGTCTTATTCACTACTAAATACAGAACACTTTCAATACGTACTTCGATCACCACTGCTTCGGCGTATATGCCTATCATAACTGGCCATTTCAATATCATCCCGCTGGTCTTGTTCATCGGGCGGTGGACGAGGTCGATCAGTGTACTCCCTTTCTAACCGCTGCTCAACAACGCTTGCATGAATACCCTCCTCATTTTGACTTCGTTGTCGTCGTCTCAGCTGGTCATCCTCCATCGATATGGGACAGTCCCCAGAGCAGCCCAATTCGTTGCACAAAGTAGTTGCCACTTGCAACTGATTTAACTGATAGCAACATTTTTCATCAGGATCTATTGCAACCTCTTTGTTTACTGATATACCCCCGCCCGTATGATGTTTACTATTTGACGCTGCAGCTGAAAGAAGCCCAAGCTGTGATAGTTTTGGTGACTTGACAATAACGGGACTATCTTTGGGCAATACGGACGCGCCCAAACCACGGAACTGGGAATGTGTTGCCTGCATTTGCTGTGCGTGCGACGCCTGAGTGTGCTGTGTAGACGTTGACTGTGTTGACAGCTGCTGCAAATGATCCATGGTGTAGCGAGTACCACAACTCCCATTTCCACCTGTAGGACATTTGTTGACGACGTACATATCACCGGTATGAACATTGGGAATATGCGTATGTGAAATGGATGAAAGTGGTTGGCGGTTGGTTGCACTTTGAATGTAATGTGGACCACCGACGTTAGTTATTAGTGACTCTGTTCTCGGTGGCGGATTGTGCGAATTAACGGAAGTAGAAGAGGTGCGGCATAAACCACGGATTTTCAGTATTTCACCGCCTCGTAAGACTTCACTTAGTATATCGTTGGCGACAGTCGCCTCGCCACTGTACATGTACTGCACAAGAATTTGTATGGCGCGGTGGCTAAGATCCGGCGGAAGCACTATGTAGAGTACACCGTTTGGCGAAGAAATCGGTGCAGTTTCAAACATCGTTGCAAAAAACTGTGATAACGGAAAAACATTATGAAGTTACCTGTTTGTAATTTGCCAAAAAACAGTGGGCATACATATATATATGTATGTATATCGCACACCGTCTTCAAAGGAGTCACACCTCAACATTTTGCATTTTTGAAATTATTTACTAAAAATGTACACAGAGCTTTTATTTACCTTTCAGAAAAAGCTGGAGCAAATTTTTGTTATAAGTTGTGTTCCAGATGCTTCACGATATTCACGATTTGCAGGAACAGCTGTTTTCTCCATTAACAAACCTAATGGAAGGTGGTCACCTGGAACTGCTTCCTGTAAAAACCTGCAAATCGTGAAGCATCTGGAACGCAACTATAATTTGTTAAAAAAAACCTAAGTTAAAGTCGCCTTTGCTCATATGATTCGCATGCGCTAAGAAATAGTTTTTCGCATTTTCTGACAAACGTATTATTTTGAGTTGTGACTCTTTTGAGGACGGTGTGCGATATATGTATGTATACCGCTACCCTGCCAGCATTTTCTATTGCGGAAGTTACTAATTCTATACGACATTTCTGTGGAAATCATCGCCGCCGATGATGTCGCTACTTTTTCGATTTCTTAACCGCTCTCGGGAAGAACTGTTCCACCAAGGCGTCACTTCTTTACGAAACGAAAGCGATACAGCAATTACGAACTATTTCGATAGGAATAACAGTAACTTGTGTGATTAAGTTTGAAGTGTTAAAGAAGATTTGATAAAACGTAATGAGAAATTTGGGATACATTTGAACTTGCAACTACAGCCGCAGAGTTACGCCATTTCATACATATTTTATGATATTTCAACCACATAAACATTTTAAAAAGGAATTCGAAAACCTGATAGTAAAAAGGCAATCAAATAACGCCTCTGTTAAAATTAAAAAGATATGATTATTTGTTCTTCAAATATTATCATGATGAAACTATAAATAATAATAATAATAATGGTATAATTTCCCGATGGAATAAGATTGCTTGCACGTTAATTAAAAAATCAAGAAGGATTGAGAAAATAAAAATATGTATAATTTTACTTGAATGAACTTCCAATATTTGCTTTGTTAATTTTCAAAACTAGAAAAGAGTACAAATCGTCCGGGCATCTTTAAGAAGATAGAAAAGCGGCAGAAATGTTTTTTTTATTAAGTGAAATGAATAACTATCGCTTTGATAAGTTGCAATAGTGACGAAGAAGTGACATCGTGGCGATAGGCAATAAAATTCTCTTCCCAATTTGCTGGCAGGGTATATATACACGAATTTGTTTCTTTGCACATACCTGACTGCAGGAGCTAAGTATAAATTTGTGCGCTGAAATTCCCACGGTAGGTATGCCATTCTCCGAACTATTTCCACTGACACAATTGCTGCTGGAGCTATATAACACTACATCGGCAAACTTTTCATTCCTAAAATCAAACAAAACACTCATTATAAATCCATATCCACATCGTTAGGAGCCTTCAAAAATGGCACTTACTTGTAAAGCGTGGCCACTGACGAATTCAAGTATGACAAATGGGAGTCCCATTTTAAGTGATAGTTTTCTGCCGCCATGGTCTTGCAATACAAATAGAGACTTCCTTCCGTTGGATTGTAGCCGTTTTTGTTGCAGTGATGCTTTGACTCACAGGCTTTGCACAAATGATGGATTTTACTGCAGCATGATGAAACATTTAAAATCCCCAATGCTTTATGAGTATGCTTTCAGTATGGAAGCCGTAGCAGAGCATGGAACTAACTTAAAATGGGGAAAATATGTATTATGTCCGCTTTAATCCTTCGTAATGAACCCCGTATTGTGAAAAGCTACAAAGCCAACTAGAAAGAAGCAAATCGATAAATCAATAATTCGTCTGCATTTTGGGCAACGACCAAGCAACACCCGCGCACGTACATACATATATATTTATGTGTACGTACGTATGTATGTTTATGTGTGCATATGTACATTTAAATGGTTAAATGGGTTAACCCAGCCAGCAGAGAAACGTACTTTTTGCCGACTGCAGTTTTCGTACATTTTTCGTATCCGGAAACGTTCAGAAAACGATTTCCTTTTTTGTTAATTTTAGGTGTACGAAAACTTCAGGAGGTCCCAGGTTCGAATGCCGTCAGAAGCAGAAATTAAAATTATACATATGTATGTATGTATGAATGTATAAAAGTACATATTTATAAAAATTAAAAAAATTGCTGAATCTTAACATTGTTTGTTTGGTAACTATGAAAAAGTTTCTGTGAACTTCATTATGAAATCGTTTTCGATAGTTTTCTGTACATACGTTTCGGATAAACACTTTAGTGGGAGAATGGATCTAAAAAACGACCGAAAACGGTATCGGTAAACGGATGAAACTTCAAGTTTTTATACGAAATTGTTTTTGGATACGTTTCCGGATATTTTGCTTTCTGGGTTTACTTTGTTTTAGTTGGGTGAGGAAAAGTAAAGGGAAGTAGCGGAATCAAATGTATCTTATATGTAAATATGTATGTAATTGCGCGTTAGCATACACATGTGTCCGCCCGCCCAGATGTTAAATGGCTATTGGAATATGACTTGATTAACTACCCTTTTAATTAGCGGAGATAAAAGCTATATGTAAAATAACCGTTTAAATTAAATTTTCATTTCCACTAGAAAATCAGCACTTCACCGGAAACACTAACAAATTCTTTATGCCACAAATGCCAAGGTGAAATATAAAGTTTTTTTTCGGAATGTTCCAGAAACGAAGGGAATTAGCCTTTTAAAAAATTGTTTCCTTCCTTGCCGTGTAGGCTATAACGTAATTCACTTCCGCTTTTCGATGATAGCCGTTAGGGACCAAAAATGCACTACCGGGACAGGGTTACCATTGCAAACTTTCTTTCCTACCAAGAGCTAGTCCAAAAATGTACCAAATGGCTTCTTTACTACCACTTAAGAAAACGGCGTTTGAGGCAGTGGTTTCTACACTTAAAATAAGATTTCCAGGTGATCGCCTTCGGAGTAAATTACGTGAAAAATCGCGCTCTGCGGGTTTGCCATTAATTTCTTTGAGTTGCATGTATATATTTTCGTGTAGTATGCTTTTCAATTTTCTTCTAGTGCCATTCAAAATATTTTAACAACCTCGTCATTGTTGAAAGTATTATCGATTCGAAGAAAAATATCTGATTTTTGAACCTGTCTTAACGTCCAACAATTCAACCACTTGATATCCCTTTAGACACGAAGTTCAGAGAATCACCGAAGGTAATTGATGAAATTCTATCTGCAACAGGTTTTTAAACTATTTGGCAAATAGTTGGACCCATCCAAAAAAAAAATAGTAAGGGTAAAACCGATATTGTCTTAATTTGGCAAGCCTACTCACAGTGCTGACAAATGACGCACTACTACAAACCAGAGATGCTTTCTGTTTTATCAACAAAGAAAACCTACCAATGTGGTAGGAAAAGCCAAACCGGCAGCCCTGTACCGGAATCGGTTAGGGACCAATTAATTTCCTTCATGTCAAAACCGTTCTCATCTCAGTGATGCCACCTAGTTCTGGAATGAAGGAAATTAATTCGTCCCTAACCGATTCCGTTAGTGCATTTTTGGTCCCTAACCGCAAAATTGCAAAAACATCAAAAAAGTGACAGTGAATTGTTGTTTGTGGTTATTATTTTTTGTTTCTGGTCTAAATCGCCATAAGTATAGTTCGCAGTGAAATTAAATATTATTTTATCATACATTTTGTTAATTATAGCTCAAGTTTTAATTAAATATACATACATATATGCATATAAATGTATGAAAGTAAAATGAATGACTTGGTTTTGGTTTTCGATTTGTCACAGCATACAACTTTTCTCGAAATCAAATCTTGGATACAGGAGCTACATCGTACCGTCCAGGTACCTATGGTACTTACACTTGGCTTATCTGGGAACACAACCAGCTAACGTAAACGGAACAGAGCTTTTCCGATGTCAACTATTGTGTTATTTGTGGATGTTTATTTGTCTTGAATGATAAAGAAATTAACAATCAATTGACCGGAAGCGACATGGCATCTAAAATGGATTTCGATGTAAAACTGATAGACATGGTTCGAGCAAATCCACTGCTTTATGAGAAGGAAGTTCGTAGCTCGCCGTATGATCTCATGAAAAGGAAAAATGAACTTTGGCGTAGTATAGCTTCCTCTCTAGAAGTTGAAAGTAAGTACATAGATCTATAAATTGTGCAAATTGTTTAATAAAAATGGTTCTACTTAAGCCAAGTACTGTGTAATTCGATGGAAAAACCTTAGAGACAAATTTCGTCGCGAGCTGCAGAGATCAATAGAGATGGAGCGCAAAGCAGGCGGCGCCAAAAGCGCCAGGGGATCTACTTGGCATTTAATGGGAAAAATGAGTTTTCTTGAAAGCCATATTAGGCTACACAAGTAAGCACATATTGTTAGGAATTTGCCAAGCAGTAATAAATGTATTCTTTAACAGCTCACACAGCACAAAGAGTCCAGCAAACAACTCACGTTTCACGTGGACTGAAATGGACGCAGAACAGCTTATTGAGCAAGTTATAAATGAAGATGATCCTTTGCAAGAAGCTATGGAAGAGCAAACCACCACTGTTGATACAAAAACCTCGGACAATGCAGTGAACACTCCAACACCTACAACTTCGTTTATGAAACGTATCGAAACTTTGCTCGAGGGTTTAGATGCTGCTAATCGCAACAAGGCTGAAAAGCGCATTGTAGCGTATCTTTGCAAATGCCAACTGAAATCGTTGGATAATGAGAATATTGATGATATTGTAATATAGATGTGTATATGTACGTAATTTATTTTATGGCATTTCCTTTTTGTACTCAGTATCTCAATTTATACACACAATCATGTATAAAACGAATAGTAGACATAATTTGTATGTTTAAGAAAAAATGATGTACACAAAATTTAAGTTTTAGTGAACATTAATATTACGTGTTTTTAGTAATAAGCTTCAAGAAATTATTATTTTATTATTGCCTCACTATATTGAAAAAAAATAAGAATACTAATTGCCAATTTTTTTCCCCATTCTGGTATTTATGTCCGCAGCTTGTGAACAGACGCTTCTATCGCGTCGCATTCGTGCCCGTTCTTCTCTAACTTTCAAGCTCAAGCATCATTATCGATTTTTTCGGATATGAATCACACTCGGATTTGTTATTTCCACCCTTCAAAGAATGCTGATTGCTTTGGAGCGGGGAAATTTATTAGCAAATAATCGCCTAGTCTGAACATCAGGCATATTTATGTATGTATGTATGTATGTATGGGTGAATACAAACTCCACCCCATTTATGCATTTTCCATACCTTATTTTCTTTTTAACTTCAATGTTTTGTTATTGAATTGTATGGGATGTAATTTATGGCATTTTAGTCACTTGTGCATACATATGCATATATAGGGGTTTTAAACACTGATAAATATAACTTTCAATTTCGAAACTTCACAATCGTCACAAGCGTCGTTTGTGCTCTAGTGGGAGAGCATATTCTTTATGTTTGGGCGCGCAATACTTTCCAACTTACATACCTATAACCCACTCATGCAAATGTATGTGCACTTAACTGCTTATTCCTTCAATCGTCATTGTTGTTATTTTACAAATGAAGTTACATACATATGTACATTAATGTGGTCGTTGGCTGTATTGATTGATTTGCCGTCCATAGAAATCAATATATGAAAATTTTAAAAGCTTTTTGACTATGTAGAAAAGCGTATACCGTTACCAAGAATGTTTGGTAAATCTTGCCATTTGTAAGACCTGCATTTATTTGTTTATAACTTTACACATTTTTCATAAAATTTGTTTACTTTGTAACCATTTTAAGCCCATATTTACTGAAATAAATATAGTTGCAGCATTTTTGCTTATTACAATCATTTACTCTACTTTATAAACATACTTTTATTTCGCAAAAACCCGCACTTTTAACGCTCTGCAATTGATTTTTAATAAGCAGTCAAGATTTCCCGTCGCTGCTGTGGCTTGTTTCGTACTGTAATCCGCGTAAAAATTATTGATGGTCCTTGCGCCTATCGTCAATTCATTTGTCTGTATATGCGCACAACATCGTCTTTGTTGGTACGCAAGTATTGTGTTTAGCGCCCATTTCATGTGGCAAAATAAAGAGAGCTAAAGCGACTCAATTATTGCACTAAGTATGTGTATATGTACATAATATGTATATGTAAATGTATTAAGTGAACTTTGCATTGCAAATTTACATTCCTTGGCTCCTACTGCCGCAGTGTAAACAAACTTATAATGAAGAAAACCTGAAATAGACTAGAAAGCCTTCTAAATCCGCAGGAGGAGTCAGGGTAGAACAAAAATAATACATAGGAGCGGCGGCGGTCTGAAGCGCATCTGCTTGTAGTGCTGTTTTTCTGGTATTTTTAGTTTTATATTTTTACTCGGTAGTGTTTTTAGGCTAAAATTTGTTGTTGCTGGCCATCAACATTTTTAGTGAATGAATTCTTTTACCGTATTTACATACATATGTATGTATATTCAAATGTATATATAATACTTAGATAAGAATTACGTATGTTACATAGATTTGATTGAGATGTTAGGGGCTCTTCAGCGTGGTTGTAAATATGTATGAATGTATGTATGTACATATGTGCAAAAACGTATGCATATTTATTGCTCACGTCTTTTATTCTAGTAAGACTGAAAATATTAACACTGATAAAAAAAATAGCCGCATAAATTGTTAGATTTTTGCTTTTTATTTTTTTATGATAACTATAAAAAGGATACGTGCAATCGCTGATTTAAAATAGATGAATAATCAGATGTGTTGCAATATGTTATTTATCATCCATCAGACTTGGATTTTTTTTCCTCGACCTCTTCAGATTTTTCGGACTCACACTTTCGCTTTTGGGAGAAATCCTGGTCACTCGCGTCACATAATATTTCTTCTTCGCCACCATCTTCATTTACCCTTGATTGCTCGCTGTTCTTATTTTTATTTTGTTCGTCTAGTTCTATTTTCATTTGATGTGCAGCAGAGGTGTCCGATTTCAGTAGCTCTCTCAGAAACATTGTAGCGTATGCAGATCGAGGCAAACAGAANATCAGATTTTTCGGACTCACACTTTCGCTTTTGTGAGGAATCCTGCTCACTCGCGTCACATAATATTTCTTCTTCGCCACCATCTTCATTTACCCTTGATTGCTCGCTGTTCTTATTTTTATTTTTTTCGTCTAGTTCTATTTTCATTTGATGTGCAGCAGAGGTGTCCGATTTTAGTAGCTCTCTCAGAAACATTGTAGCGTATGCAGATCGAGGCAAACAGAAATCTAACAGCAGAGCCTTAAAGTCGCCTACTTCACAATCCTCTTGAATGGGTTCATATCTACCAGTAACAACGTCCCAATCGGATACTATGAGTGATTCCTCTGCAGACGAGTACTTTCGAAATTTCCATGTTAAACCACTGGGATGGATCAACAGTTTTCGGTAAGCGCCAGCCAAGGCATATGTTTTCACACTGTGACGCAATGTCTGGGATGAGAGCCCGTACTCTTCTAGAATTTCTTCATACCAGGTTTTCACTTCATTGTCCGGGTAAGTGATATCATATCCAGGCAAAGGTAAAACAATATCAAAAATTGTGTAACCCCCACTCTCAATTTCACCTGCGCTTAATGCCTTAACTTTTCTCTTAAACTTGGAACCCGCTGCTTCATCTGCAGCCGCTTCATTTTTCTCGTCACTATTTGGTATGGGGACATTCTCTTCCTTGGCCTCATTCACCTCTTCATTTTCGACCATATCCTCTAATATAGTTTCTTCAACAATATCGTCATCCATTTCTTCTTTATTTCGATATACCAAATCACCTGGTATTAACTTCAANGAGTGATTCCTCTGCAGACGAGTACTTTCGAAATTTCCATGTTAAACCACTGGGATGGATCAACAGTTTTCGGTAAGCGCCAGCCAAGGCATATGTTTTCACACTGTGACGCAATGTCTGGGATGAGAGCCCGTACTCTTCTAGAATTTCTTCATACCAGGTTTTCACTTCATTGTCCGGGTAAGTGATATCATATCCAGGCAAAGGTAAAACAATATCAAAAATTGTGTAACCCCCACTCTCAATTTCACCTGCGCTTAATGCCTTAACTTTTCTCTTAAACTTGGAACCCGCTGCTTCATCTGCAGCCGCTTCATTTTTCTCGTCACTATTTGGTATGGGGACATTCTCTTCCTTGGCCTCATTCACCTCATCATTTTCGACCACATCCTCTAATATAGTTTCTTCAACAATATCGTCATCCATTTCTTCTTTATTTCGATATACCAAATCACCTGGTATTAACTTCAAACCAAATTCTCGAATGCGGCGCGATGCAATGCGATTGAATACCAGACTTTGAAATGCATGCGTATAAAGAAGTAACATGTTGCGAGGTATCTGTTTTTTACACACAGATAAGTTAAAAATTAAATCTTTTCTATGCTTTATTTATAATTACAAACAAAACCTTTCTTAATGCCGCCGAGTAATCATTTTCGCCATATGTCGCTAGTCCAACTAGTAACTTTTTTTCGATAGAATCATTAGAATTTAAATTAGCGGCTGCTGCGGCTGAGTTACGTTCTTCCCACCACCTCCGTCTTATATTATCCATGAAAGGAAGGTCATGTTCTCGAGGTTTTAAAATCAGTTCAACGACCTACATACAATAGATAAATCATTAATCAGAAGATAGGAGAACGAAGTATAAAGCCGCTTTTAGATTATACCGTTTTATAATCCGATTTTAAAAGTGCCACTCCAATTTCATATGTGGGTATATCAGGATGATTACCAAATCTCTGCAAACCGAAATAATTAATAAATCCGTTTTCCCGCAGGCCTTCCAGAGCCTTCTCAATTTCCTTTTCATCTCCATTGACATGGCGCAGGGCTATTCTAAATCGATTTCCCTTTAAGTCACCCAACTTGACCACTTCGTTACTGAACTCAAAATTGCCGACTTTAATTTTGGACACTTTAGCAGCGGTCAAAATTTGCGAAGGCTCGCGACGTTTTATGCAAAACTTCTGCGTTGTCTTGGCGCGCTTATCTTTGGTGCCACAATAATTAACATGAGACGGATGCATACTAAGGCGTTGTACACACATTTTTATATAGATATAAATATATACATATGTATATGTTCAAAGGCATATATAGTTACGACTTACCTCAAACGTGATGCTAATCTTGAAGCCGCCTCGGTTGTTTCCATATTTTCCTTGTATACCAAAAAGTGTACATATTCGCCCGGAAAGGTCCACCGTTTGCGCTTCTCACCTAAGATTTGCATTATTTATTTAGCGTAAAGAAATATTTATTTATTTGACATATGTATGTAAGCAATCATGATTTTCCCCTACTTGGTTTTCCTTTGGGCTTCATTATTCTAACAAAACGCTCGTCTGTGGAATCCGTGGGGCTAATTGTTGAACTCACTAGTTTTTGTCCATATAACTGCTTTAATATGTTATGTACCTGCGTTCGTTTTTCTTTATCCAAAGACGATACATTGATATCTATGGGCTGAGCTGCTGGATTGTTCGATTTCATTGCTGCTAATACGCCAATCTTTTCCCACACCTCTGTTGTTATAACTTCTTTGAACCTCTCACGCGCAGCAGCTAATTCAGTTTCATCAAGGGCTGCGGGAATAATTAGGGGTTTATTTCATATTGGCCCAAATCGACAGAAACTTACTTTCCACCAGCGCTTGGGGTGTCGTTAAGTCGGTAATTTGCAAAACCTTTCCGTTTGCATCGATTTCATTTACTTGAAAATCTGAGAATCGCGATTTCACAACCCCGGTGAATCCTGCTATTTTGTTCACATACTCAGTTATTCCCGCTTGATCCTCACGCAAACTTTGCCATCCGGCACCACCGGCTCTGTAATCAACATGTGAATAGTTAGAGAACCGAAACGACAAAAAACCTAAGGGACTTACTCGATCCTCCTATTGCCATAGTCAATATTTTTATTCGAGTTTGATGATGGAGTGCCACGCTGTTGTGGACGCCATCGTTGTCTTTTAAAAGGCGTTCGATTTTTTCCCATAGCTAAATATCACAATTTTTAAAAGAATTAGCTCGTGCTGGACTAGCCTGGCCAGCGTTGCCACTAAAATCTTTTTCCCCTACCAGTTTTCTTTCCATATCCAACCAAAATCGTTTACAACCTACCAAATAAATTTCAATTACGAAAAAGCATTCTGAAAGCATACTATCCATATTTTTAAGATTAAGAAAAGAGGTAAAGTTTGTCGTTCCCACGACAGTCGGGTATACGTAGCCGGAACGACCCAGATTTATATCTGGCCAAGGACTGTCACTCCAGCAACATACCCCAAAAAGTCTTTGGGGAATTTGTATGCTGCTACAACAACAACAACAACAGGTAAAGTTGATAAATCTTCTTCAGAAACTACCTTAGCTGGTGTTATTATTTGTAAAAGTTGTATATCTTATATATCCGCCCAAGTCTCCAGCCATAACATTGGCTCCATCAGTGGTCAAATCAATTAGGTTTCTTATTTTTAAAGACAGGATTGGCAAATGTTTAAAATTTACAATTGACAAATATTTGGTGTTTTAAATATATATTTTAATAATAAAGAATTCATTCATTAATTCAACTATCCGACCAAAATCTTACTTTCCCTACCAACCTAGCAAATGAAAAAGAAGCGACCAAATTTGGTCGGAAAAGGGTGCGGTGGCAACACTGAGCCTGGTATGCATTTTTCTGTTATCGATTTTTTATGTAATTCCGCAGTATCGATATAATAGGTCTCTTCGTTGAGTGTTAATAATCGTTTTATGTAAACATCCATGAACCAAAAAGACAAGATCACGCGGGCAGGAGACTAGCCCGTTAGAATCGCATTTAAGAAAAAAGTTGAACGATTTTGACATTAGCCGTTTGTTTACACTTCTTCGTTGTTTACAATTTAGTGGTGGCTTTTTACTGCAATTTTCTTCATTTTCGCCTGTGACAACGTGTGTACACATAAGATAAAGAATAATTTAACACAACGGCATGATTTATAGAAGAATTTGCATAATAAAAATGATTTTTCATGCGTTCAACAATTTCGCGGTTTTCTCCGTTCTCTTCGTTGTTTACTTCTTACAACAAAGATGGCGTCGAGATTTCGGCAGCTAGAAAATAACTTTTTTCGTTCTTTCCTTCCCGCGTGATCTTGTGTCTTTCGTTCATGGTAAACATCGTGAGCTACACTTTTTCAAGTAAATTTGCAACACGGTGCCACTGCTAAACGAGCGGTGCGAGAGAGACAACTGTCAGTTTATCTAATACGATGTTTCCACGTTTCGTAATTCGCTCTCTTATTCGTAATTCGTCTTGCCAATTACCTTCCGAATTACGTAATTCGCCATACAAAATTTTGAGAGCGAATTACCTCATTTGTAGGTAATTCAGATCGGATTACCATGCGAATGACGAACGAATCGGTGCCTTCACTAATATATATCGGAAATGTATTGATGTTTTCACCGGCCTGGTCCCATTTGCTGTCACTTTTTCTAGTTGTAGAATAATATTAATAAAATATTCTCTATATATATTAAAATTGTTGATGAAAACTTAAATTTTAGCTCCATATTCGATATTTGCAGTACACAAAAATAATAATAAATAGCGAAGAACAAGAACTACAGCTGCCAAACGAATTACTAATGTGTGTGTCGTGGAAACAGGGTAATTCACGAATTACTTTGCGAATAACTTAGGGCCAATTTCACANTTTAGCGAATTACTTAGAGAGCGAAATACGAAGGGTGGAAACATCGTATTACCTTTAATTATTGAACCATGGTAGGACATCATGAACCTAAAATACAAGATCACCTAATCAAAGAAGCAAGAAAAAAGTATATTTCTGAGCGCTTTTGACATCTGCCTGAAAAAATTTGTCTGCAAAATCGCCTCATGTAGATAACCAGTAAATTTCATTTTGCCAACAGCATCGACGTCAAAACTTCGTTCATCAATGCACGATATATCGATGTTTTTGGGGTCGATGTTAAAATATCGATGTTTCCAAACATCGATGTCGAAATTGCATCCTTAATAGCAGGCGATTTTTGTTTTGTTTGGGATTAAATTTTGTTAATTTGCATTTTGGCGCAACGAATGAATTGAAGGATGGTCTATATACATTTTCCATCAAATTTAACAGAAGAGGAGCACATGCTTCAAGCGAAATATCAGAAGTTGAAGAAAAAGGTAAGATTTTTTTCACAGATGCATACATATGTACATTCATATGAACATACCTTGTTCTTTGCTCCCCCCGCCCTGCCAGAAAAAAGCACTGCAGGCCTTGAAAGCTCCTAAACCCGAGCCGGAGAAACCTCTCACATTAAAGCGACCCACTGATGCACGTGATGCTCGCGAAGTTGCCCGAAAATTAATTAAAAGTGGCGCCATTCCTGCTATTCAAAAGCAACAAACAAAACAGGATCAGACATCGTTTAAGCGCCCAAAAGGCCAGGAACGAGCGAAACGAGCTCCAGAAGCCAGTGTCGCAGCCTATCAACCATTTTCTTCAACACAAAATGATGTCGCACAGGAGACAATCATTAGCGAGATAATAAAAGAAGAGCCCCGAATACAAAATCTTTATCAGCACTTTGCAACAGAACGCGATCGCGAAGAACGCGGTCTGAATGATAAAAGTTCTTTGGACTCAACGCAGCCCGAGAAACCCCGCGCAGGTAATACTATTTTCGTGTCAGGAAACAAGGTAACAGAGGAGTTCTTGAAAAAAACTTTCAACGATTATGGTACCATTGTTAATGTGTCCATGGAAGTCGAGAAATGGTAAGAGCCGATAAAAAATATTTTTGGATCGAATCTAATTTAATTAATTTACCAACAGTCGTGGATTCGTGTCCTTTGCTAAACCAGAGTCCGCAGACCGTGCCATCGCAGAAATGCATGGAAAGAATGTGAACGGCATCAATTTGCAGGTACAGCTGGCTCGTCGCCAGCCACAAATTGAGCCTATTAATGATGCTACGTCATCGGCAGCATGGTCTTCTATAGGTAATTAATATACATACATATGTGACAGGGACATTAAAAGGGGTCTACGGTTCGAAAATAATTTATCCACAACGACTTGGATGTTAACAACTTTATTTTATTAGTACGTTTTTTTTTATCAATGTGCCCATCTTTCGAGGAAATTTATGAAAAAACAAATACAGCTAGGAAGAAAAAAAAAATTATAAATAAAAATTGATTTTTCGACCCGTATAACCTTTTAATTTTCCCTGTCACATATACCTTTAAAGTAGTTTGGAATCGTAGTAGCAACGCTTACTGAATACAGAATTCAAATATTAAAATTTGATTGCGTTTTCTTTTACAGCGGCAAACAAGTCCCAGAAGGGCAGCCACAAGGATCGACGAGAGATGGTTCAATATGATGACGACTTTTTACAGTAAACCGTTTTCACGCAATTCTTTTTCGGCAATAAAATCATTATAAAAACTCAGAACCAAGCAATATATTAAACGACAAGGTATGAAGGGGGCATACTTAATGTAGGAAGGTCCTATCTCATTTTCTTTTCAAATTCAGCATTGTACAAAAGTCTGCAAATTATTCACTAAAAACATATTGAAATTTAAAAATCATTGCTGCAGCATAAAGTTTGTTTTGTATAAGCGCTTACAAAGGACTTGATTTTCTATCGAGTTTTTTCATCACTCCGTAAAGAAACAAAAATGTTAGATAGTACCTTTCTATATTGAGTTAACAATATGTAATCATTACTACGTACCGAAATGACTTGGGTGTTACCAGACTAAGACGATGTTTAGATCGGCAAATCGAACCAATCGTTGTATGTTCTTGGAGAAAGTATACAGCTATTTCTCCTATCTGGCTTTACACTAACCACCCCTTTACATGCCCGCTCTATGCTCTTTGTACCAACCCTGTAGAAACAGCACGTTTCTTGGACCTATCGCTAGTTGAGCTTGACGAAAACTATTGAAAAATAAGCTGATCTAGGCAGGAATAAGAATAAAATCACAGAAATGTAAGCAGTTTTTGAACATTGCTTTATTGAAAAATTTACACCCACATTATTTTATGTGAGTTTTTGAATATGATTATTTTAAATAATAAATATAGTATATTAGATAACAATGCAAAATTTATGGGTCATCAGATAAATACATTACGTACTTGATATCCGATTACTTCAGAAAAATAATAATAGTAAAGCAAACTAGAAAACGAATAATGAAAATGATTCTTGGTTTGGCGTCAAAGCGAACTTTTTTCTGTTGGTTATTTGTGCCGCTGAACATGAGTATGTCATATATGTATGTATATTAACATGATTTTGAATCTTATGTTCATTATGAAAATTCCTTTGCAAAAATATATGTATGTATGTATGTATATCCTATCCGTATTAATATTTTTTATATGCAATACATATACAATATTTGTTAATTAAAGTTTGCTAGGCTGCGTTCAGAAATGCATAAAGCCAAAGCATCAGTCTCTTTTATTTCTAAACTATAATTGATGGAAATGGCAAATAAGCGCAACCACTGTTAAAAACCTAATTGGAACTTAGTTGCGCAAATAAGATATTTCCATCCATTATAGTTTAGAAATAAATGATACAGATGCTTTGGCTTGATGCATTTCTGAACGCACCCCTAGTTTCAGAAAACGCCCACGGCATTGTAAATTGTTCGTCATTATTAACATGATACAAGTAAATATTTGTTAATTTTATTCTACAAACTCCTTCGTTAAATTTTCGTACAAAATAGTTACATACTTTGAATATATATATGTATTTCTTCGTTGCTTTCTTCCGAAACTGAAATACCCAGCTGCTATTTTCTATCGCAATCGGCACAAAGTCGATCTCAGCGCAGCGGCATTAACATAAGTTTGAGCGCTCGACCACGATGCTTCAAAACATTTCGTAATTATAATCAATTTCCCGCAAAACATCAAATACAAATAACTCTCTATCACTGGCTTCGCGTGGTCATTCGACGCATTCGACGTCTGGAAAAAAGGAACTAAAAATATTTGAGCTATGCAATTCTACGATTGTCGTGGCCCACTCCCTGGAGGGTTGAAAAAGTCCCAGTGGTGGGTGTGCACATTTCTGCCCGATAGCATGTACACGATCAGTGTAAAAGATATGACAACAAAAAGGGCCACCAGTGTGGGGATATGGTGAACCTGCGCTTGCACATTTTTGTCCGGATCGCCGCCTCGAATTGCGGCCGTCAGACGGTTTATCATTTGCACAATCGACAAGCTGCAAGCGGACACAAATTGTTTGCCTGCTTTTGCCACAGTTTGTGGCTCAACAGGTGGACGTGTGCTGCTGCGCGAACGCCGGCTGTGCGAGCGAGAGCGCGTTTCCTCTCGCTCAGCCAATTCGTCGTAGTCTTCGCATTCCGAACAGGATGAGTCGCATCTGCGATGATGGCGATGATGGTGGTGATGTCTCCGGTGTTGAGCGACTTCATTGCCATCGGCACTGCTGCCGTATGGCTGCTCGTCGCCCCGACGCAGGTTATAGAAACCTATTGGCGGCAATGATTGTAGATACTCGGTCGTGGTATACACTGGCGGTGGTGGTGGTGGGATGTTCGCATTAGCTGAGAATGATACTGGGTCAGTTTGTGTTTCTTCGTCGTAGTTTCTGAGTTGCTGTAAGACGATTTCTTCGGAAGTATCGACCGTTCGCTTCGCTGCTTCCAGGTCGCGCTGTCGTGGTGGTTTTGGTGGCGGCACTATTTCCCTTAGAGGAGATCTGTCTTCCGTAGCCAATGCTTCGCTACTTGCTTGCAAACTGGTCTGTGTTTCAGCGGTTAGCAAATGCTGACGGTCGGTGGTGCGCACGCGCTCTACAATATCTTCAATGAAGCCTTCCGGCAAAGCGATGTTCTTCACAATTAAATTTCCCGATTTGCATTCGAGTTCTTCGGCCGATATTTGCGTGCCATGCAGCTGTGAAACCATAATTTGGCCAGCGTGAAGCGCATGAACACGTAAACGCTCGACTTCAAGATCCCCTATGTGCGCAGGTAGTTCAGGTTGCGTTGGAATCGGGACGGCAGCTGTCGACGAAGGCACAGGAGTCAACTCCTTCGATAGCTCTTCCACTAAAGTAAGTGCCGGCGGGATGTCAAGTGTTGTTGACTTGCGGCGAGGTGGTGGCAAGGGTGGCTCTTCAACAATCTCTACTTCTCGTGTGTGATCCATTCGAACTGCCTCAAGCGCCTCATCTCTAGGGCTTTGGAGGTCTTCCCCAATCTCTTGAGATTCGTTCTTTTGTTCTTCAGTACTTTCTTCTACCCTGAGTTCGTCTCTGATCTCGCTTTTTTGTTCATCTTCAGACGCAGATGGTGGCGCTACTGAGATTTCGTCTTTGATCTCGCGTCTTTGATCGTCTTCAGACGCACTTAGCGGGGCTTCTATTTCCTCAGTTTCAGATAGGTATTCGTTTCTGACACTTTTCTCTTCCTTATTATCTTTCTCAGACGTTTCCTCTCCCAGGTAATTGGTGTAGTCATAAGCGGGTATATCTATGTCTGACATCTTTTCATCGTAATCATAATCATTTAGCTCGCCCTCCACACTTTCTCCTTTATCTTCTCCATAGTTGCTGCTGCCACCTTGAGCGCGTAGCTCATCAAGTGCAGCATTTAGCTCTTCAGAGCTTGGACCTCTTGAATATTCGCTAACGGCGAGTTTCGACTCTTCTTCGTCATGCGACGTTGCCTCCACATCGGACTTGCTTTGCTGCGAGCTATCCGTGAGCAGACCTTCCCTCCGTAATGCTTCTTCCTCCAAATCTAGATCATCAATTGGTCGTACAATCAACGATGCCTCCAGCATCGATTCACTCTGTTGGCTGGGTATCGGCGTCGAAACGCGTCTTTCGATAACAACGGCAGAGGGGGTTTGTGGCCGACTTTGAGATTTGGAGTGGTCCGCCTGCGAAGAGGCGCGCGATCGCTCTGAAATGCTTCGTTGGTTGGCGTCGCGGAATCTTTGCAGTCCCCGTGCTAATTGCTCTTCTTCAGTGAGCTGAGGTGTCGCCTCTTCAGCTTCTTTGGCTTTCAACTCCTCTTCCCTTAATAGCTCATCCAAAGTTTTTCTCATACTATTTATACGCGGCTCGATTATTCTCATATCTTCGGTGATTTCGAATTCCTCACATTCGAAATCGTCCGGCAAGGGGTCGGTCTGAGTTGATACCTCAACCTCAGGTAGGCGTGTTTCCTCCTCCTCCAAATCGACGTCGGTCGGATCGTAACTTTCCGCCGTGGAAGATGTGGCAATTTGTTCGTCAGCAATCTCGCGATTGTATAGCGCGTTGAAAGCGCTATGCGCTGAACTCTTGGATTCGGCGCGTTGACGTTTTTCGCGGGGTGGGCGTGGTGGAGGTGGCAGCGGTCTGAATTTCATTTTGTTTATAATCTCGCCAGATTGTAAGTCTCGTGGAGATTCAGGGCGTTCCTGCTGCAACGCTTCCGGCTCTTCATAATCATCATCCAGTCTAAAGGAAGTGGTGAAGCGGTCGTCGATGAAAGGAAAAGGAAAACCAGAATTGGAGCCAAATAAAATATATATATAAAATTTTAATGGAAAAGTGGATGCAGTTGCCACAGGGCCAAGCACCAAACCAACAACAACAACAACAACAAAAGAAGCTGCTTCAACAAAAAAACTTTAACGAAAACCAAAAACAACAAGCGAAACAAACAAAACTCTTAAATGTTTTTGGATGGTTTTATTTTTCTTTTTTATTATTTAGATGTGGTTTGTACATTTGCATGTACATACAAACCTACATATGTTTATGTATGCGTGTACGTATATATTTAGTTATACTACATTAATGTTTGTTACGAGTATTACAACAATATTGCGCTAAATAAAAACGGAACTAATATTCACTGAAACAATTTTGGGTTAGCGAGACAATGTATGTATGTATGTATGTATGTATGTATATTGGGGTGCATCACACTCCATACCACCAAAAAAAAAAAAATCGGTAATGTTTTTCCATCGGAATTGTGAAATCTATTATTCCGCCAAAATATTAAGATTTACGTGAGCTGCAACGATTTGACATGGTATTCATCAAAGCGCATAAATGCCTCGTAACTGCGTAAACCTCGTTAATAAACTGGTTTTCCATACAAAATGAGCTAAGTTTACAAGGTTTACTTGGTTAAGAGGCATTTACGAGTTTAGATGAATTGCCCTTGAAAATAACTCCAAAAATATAGTTTTTTTACCTCCCTTTTATTAGGTCGGGATGTAACTATGTAATATTGATGCGCCTAAAAGATGCAGCGATTTACATGCTCAAGTTACATACCTGATGACGGTACGAATGGAAATTATAATAGCCAGGTTTTAGTTTTTTAAACTATATTTATAAATAAGATTCGTTTTTAAAAATGTTTTTTTTTTGAGGCACCCTAATGAATATATGTATGTACTATGTAAATATTTTGAATTAAAACAAAAATGTGCATTAAGGTCCTAGGGCCTTTCTATTTTAAGGTAACGATATGTATGTATGTATGCACATTAGGACGGGTTAATTTGCATGGGAGGTTTCTTCGACTATGCGCGTATAGCACAGAAGGATTCTGCGTGTAATTCTAAACAAATTTGCCAAAGAAACCTTGTGTCTAAAATCAATTTGGAGTTTGCCAAATTGCGAAAATAGGTTTCTAAGCATTTTGCTATAGTATCGTAAAGTATCGTTATTTTCCTCGAAACCTATTTTCGTAATTTGGCAAACTCCAAATTGATTTTAGGCCAATGGTTTCTTCGGCTAAACGCCCATAGTCATAAAAATCTTACCCGCCCTAATGTACATACATACATACGTAGGGAGATTTATGACAATATTTACTAAAATCTATTATTCGCGAATACGAATAAGAATAGCAAGTCACGTGATAGATAAAAACTTGCCGAAAATAAATTTCGATAGCTGCACTATTATTTGGTGAATATCCTGTGATCTAAATAGCCATAGCTTTCTTTCCTTACTTACTGTCTCTATTGGCAATTTTTCCACTGCTGCTATAGATCTCCCGCGATTAATCGCTTGTGAAGATCGCTTAGCTCAATCGCAGGCGATAAATACCTTGCGAGTTATAGCAGGCGATGAACTGGAGTGTGGAATGTGGAGTAAGCTTTATTTGGGAATAGAGTAACTTTCATCATGTGGGGAATGCACTCATAAGCACTTTTTCAAATGAAATCTTATGTGATGAAATGCCCGCGTACAAAAATTTCTTTGCGATGAAATTTAGAGATCTTCTAAACGGCTAAGGTCATCTTTTTTTTTTTT